CGAACTTAGAGTGGTTACAATCATCCGGGTTTAAATCGCGCTCAAATTGATTTGATTTTGACGCAATATTTACACTGAAGCTCGCAGGTGGCTATGGTGAGAGACGTGACATTTCCCGACCAGGCGCCGAGTGCTGCCAATCACAGCACACACTGGCCCAGCTAACCAATCACAGCACATTTCGTATTTCAGAAGGCGGGCCTTCATTTGATACAGGAACTATTCGAGCCGTTCATGCCAGACTGGGGAGAGAGGTGTTGTAATAATGTAAAATATGTGAAAAATAATGTGTTTTTCGAACAACCTAGTATGAGAGCCTGTTCTAGCACACCCCCAAAACAAAATCAAGACTTTGTAAAAGAGCATAATAGGACCCCTTTAAGAATAATGGAGGCTACATGCTTCTGTGAACCTTCAATGCAGCAGATTTTTTTCTGAACTCTTCCTCAGATTGGTGTCTTGACACAAGCCTGTCTCTGAGCTCTACAGGCAGTTAATTTGACCTAAGGGCTTGGTTTTCGCTCTGATATGCATTTTTAACTGTTGGACCTTTTATTGAGAGTTGTCTGCCTTTCCAAATCACACCCATACTTGTACAAGTGATAGTAACATCTACAAGCGATAATGGAATGCTCCTGAGCTAAATTTCAAATGTGTCCAGATTATTTTAGCTTTTTATTTCTAATAAATTTGCAAAGTTCACAAATCTTTTTTTTTTCTTTTGCTTTGTCATTATGGTCTATGGAGTGTAGAGTGATGTGAAAAAAGTAATTTAAAGCAGTTTAGCCTCTAACACTAGCTTGCTCTATTCGTTTTCTATTCTATATGTTTTCTTTTTATTTATTATAATAATAAAAAAAACCTTGCAACCTGTACTGCATTAAGCTGAGAGTTGTTTTAGCACTTGCATATCATTGCTCTCTTGTTGATTTTGATTGTGTGTGTGTGTGTGTGTGTGTGTGTTGGTGGTGTGTGAGTGCATGTGTTTGTGGGTAATGCAGTGGACACAACACCCTGTCTGATGAATGTATGTGTGTGTGTTTGTGTGAGTTTGTGGCTAATGCGGACACACAATGCCCTGTCTGATAAATGTGTGTATGTGTTTCAGATGGTGAAGCTTCAGGAAGTGTTTAAGCTATTCTATCTGGGGAAGCACAGCGGGCGTAAACTGCAGTGGCAGCCCACATTGGGTCATGCAGTCCTGAAGACTGAGTTTAAAGAGGTGAATGCAGCACACACACACACTTAGTACAACAAAACCATAAAAACATCATATAGAGCCAATATAGTGACACCTGAACACTGTTTGACAGACGAGACACAGCAGAGGCTCTGCATTCACTGAAGAACACCAGCTCATAATTATGAGATACAATGTTACAATTATGACAAAAAGTCTACATTATTAGATGAAAAGTCATAATTATGACAAAAAGTAAAAATTCTGAGAGTCTTTAATGAATATAAAGTTAAAAAAAAATGCATTTATTTAAATTAGAAATCTTTTGTAACATTATAAATGTCTTTACTGTGACTTTTGATCAGTTTATTGCGTCATTGATGATTCAATAATTTTTTTAATCTTACCCCAAATAAATGAATAATTGAAATTGCATATCATTGCTCTCTTGTTGATTTTGATTGCTTCTATTGTCCTCATTTGTTAGTCGCTTTGGATAAAATCGTCTGATAAATGACCAAATGTAAATGTAATGTTATATATACTGGAAGCACAGCGGGCGTAAACTGCAGTGGCAGCCCACATTGGGTCATGCAGTCCTGAAGACTGAGTTTAAAGAGGTGAATGCAGCACACACACACACTTAGTACAACAAAACCATAAAAACATCATATAGAGCCAATATAGTGACACCTGAACACTGTTTGACAGACGAGACACAGCAGAGGCTCTGCATTCACTGAAGAACACCAGCTCATAATTATGAGATACAATGTTACAATTATGACAAAAAGTCTACATTATTAGATGAAAAGTCATAATTATGACAAAAAGTCAAAATTCTGAGAGTCTTTAATGAATATAAAGTAAAAAAAAAATGCATTTATTTAGATTAGAAATCTTTTGTAACATTATAAATGTCTTTACTGTGACTTTTGATCAGTTTATTGCGTCATTGATGATTCAATAATTTTTTTAATCTTACCCCAAATAAATGAATAATTGAAATTTTGAATAGTTGAATATTTGAATAATTTAATAGTATATCACAGTTTTGAGCAGCAAATCAAAATAGAATGATTTCTGAAGGATCATGTGACACTAAAAAGTGGAGTAATGATGCTGAAAATTCAGCTTTGATCACAGAAATAGATTACATTTTACTACATATTCACATGGAAAACAGCTATTTTAAATTGCAATTATATTTCACAATATTTACTGTAACTTTGCCTTGAATGAGCATTGAGCGATACTGACCCGATTGTGTGTCTCTGCAGGGTAAGAAGGAGCTGCAGGTGTCTCTGTTTCAGACTCTCGTCCTGCTAATGTTTAATGAGTCTGACGAGTGTTCAGTGGAGGAGATCCGCGCAGCCACAGGCATCGGTACGTTCCCCTGGTCTGATATGTATGTCTGTGTCAGTTTTCAGTAACACTTGTGTTGTGTGTGTGTGTGTCAGTGGTCAGTAACAATCATGTTGTGTTCAGTTTGTGTGTGTGTTTGTGTGTGTCAGCGGTCATTAACACTTGTGTTGTGTGTGTGTGTGTGTGTGTGTGTGTGTGTGTGTGTGTGTGTGTGTGTGTGTGTGTGTGTGTGTGTGTGTGTGTGTGTGTGTGTGTGTGTGTGTGTGTGTGTGTGTGTGTGTGTGTGTGTGTGTGTGTGTGTGTGTGTGTGTGTGTGTGTGTGTGTGTGTGTGTGTGTGTGTGTGTGTGTGTGTCAGTGGTCAGTAACAATCATGTTGTGTTCAGTTTGTGTGTGTGTTTGTGTGTGTCAGCGGTCAGTAACGTTTGTGTGGTGTGTGTGTGTGCATTAGCAGTCAGTAACACTTGTGTGTGTCAGTGGTTGGTAACGCTCGTGTCGTGTGTGTGTGTGCGAGCGAGCGGTAAGTAACACTTGTGTGTGTGTGTGCGTGTGTGTCTGTCAGAGGACGGTGAGCTCAAGCGCACGCTTCAGTCTCTGGCCTGTGGGAAAGCGCGAGTGCTGAATAAAATGCCACGCGGGAAAGACGTGGAGGATGCCGACCGCTTCCACTTCAACAGCGACTTCAGACACAAACTCTTCCGCATCAAAATCAACCAGATCCAGATGAAGGAGACGGTGAGCGTGTGAATGTGAATGCAAACACAGCACACATACAGCGCATCGTCTCATTCCCATTCATTTTTTCCATAGGGGTTATAAAAAAAAAGTCTTAAGTTAAGAGTTCTCATCAATTAACTAAATCAAGCAGCTACGAGGAGAATCACAACATTACAAAATCCATTGTGAAGCAAAAAAGTATTTGAAAATCAAAAAGGCGAAGGTACAATGAGGGAAAGAGCTACAAGAATCACAGGCATTGTGAAAGACAATTAAATAAAAAATAAAAAAACTATTGATTTAAAGTTCTGGATTATAGACATAGAAACAACATATTTTAATTTGATTGCAAAATATGAATATACATACAAATAATTCAGTATATTTGAGACGTCATTCAGTGTTGTGTATTAATTCATTTGTAATTATGCTGGTAATGGCTCATGAATGTGCAGTGTGAATATACAGATGAGCTGATGGTCATGTGATGCTCATGTGATGGTCAGGTGGAGGAGCAGGTGAGCACAACCGAGCGCGTGTTTCAGGATCGTCAGTATCAGATCGACGCGGCGGTGGTGAGGATCATGAAGATGAGGAAGACTCTGAGCCACAACCTGCTGGTGTCTGAACTCTACAACCAGCTCAAGTTCCCCGTCAAGGTGACACACGTGTTCATCTGTTTTACTCATCAACATATACACTAATCAAGCAGTCACCTGTATTTCTATACAATACAGATTCATTCAACACAGCTTCACAGAAATAAACAGGAATATACCAGTGTTAATGTTGTAAAATTCATAAATTATAAAACTAATTCAGTTTCAGCTGTAATGCAGCTCTACAGAAGACAATAGAGTCATTATTCAGATCAATTCAGTTGTTTTTTACATGGTACATAAATATCAGGGTCCTGCAGGCCTGGAAACTCAGAAATGATTAAACTCTTGAAAAATCACAGGAATGTTTCACTTCACTTGATATATTATGAATAATACATAATTAAAGCATTTTAATGCATGAATTATGTCTTGTAATGCACCTAATAATGCATTTTATGATGTCTAACCACATTTATAATACATTATAATACTCGCCTGTTCATTGTTACTCTTTTAGAAAGTATAATGCATTAACACACGACAAACAGCCAATATCAGATGTAACATATGAATAAATATTATTATGCACTTAGAATTGGGTTAAAAAAAAATTAATAACAGTGTGCATTAGGGCTGCATGATATGTAAGGGATAATGTACATGCAGCCGGTTGTTATCGCAGAATAACCCCCGACAGATAATCAGACAGATAACAACCGGCTACATGTACATTATCCCGTTTTGAGTTGAAATATTTGAACGCAAAGCTTCCGTTAAGAAAGCAGTTGCTAGCAAGTGGCAAGTTCAAACTGGATGGACATTTAAGGGAAACGGTGCAGTCATACCACTTATTACACAACATTTCACCACATAAATAATTAAGGCAATAAAATATATTGATTTAAAGGGGTCATATGATGCAATTTCAATTTTTCATTTCTCTTTGGAGTGTTACAAGCTCTTGGTGCATAAAGAAGATCTGTAAAGCTGCAAAGACTAAAGTCTCAAATCCAAAGAGATATTCTACATAAACTTTGCGCTGTCGAACGCCGGATCGGCTTTCACCATGGATGAAGTGGAGTCCAGCCCGGGGTCATCACATGTGGTTGCCGCAAGCCCGCCGGACGCTCCTTCATCAAATCCGCCGGCTGCGCCGTTCTCAAGTCCGCCCGCCTGCCTCTGCTCATTCAAGCCGGCCTCAGCTCACTTTAGGCCTCCGCTCACTCTAGCCCACTGTGTGTTTAGCCTTCCAAAAGAGGACACGACTAGAAATCAGTGGTTA